TATATATATATATATTACAATTCCTATGCAATTACTTTATTATTTACATTTATTCGTCCTAAATTTTTCATATCGTAAAAAGCATCATCATTTTAATTTTTTAAACTTTTGTATCTTTTCGTATATTTGTAACTGCTCAGCTTGATTAGCTGGCCGTCATTCGGTCGACTGAGATTTGTTCAGTCGGCAGATAGCTATTCGGTCTGCTCTGAATAGATACCTTATCCTTTGTGAATATTTGTTCCGCTAGGCAGGGAGTGTATCGGCGTAATCTAACCGGCATCGTTAAGTTATAATGCCCCTAATTTATATTTTACTTTTTCAAATAGAGATTTTCAAGAAAAGTGCTTTGAAATAATTCTATGTGATGCACATGATTCTATGCTTTCTTTTGATGTAAGATTTAGAATTTTGTATGAATGATTTACATACGTACCACTAAAGATTTTTATAAATTTACATATCTACCACCTAAATATTAATTTTTGACAAAAATGCCATCATAACTATTCATAAAAAGGATGTGAAATATTTGGATGATGTAAATATAAGAGAGGGGGTTTATGCGGTAGATATGTAAGTATATAGGAATTGTGTAGATGTCCCATTTTACGTTCGTGTAACAAAAGAATTTTCATTGAATTGAAGAAAAATTATTGAAAGAAACTTAGGAAATTAAGCCTGTCAAATCAATTATTTTTCTATTTGAAGAAAGAGCTGGCCTTGCAACTTTGCTTTGAGGTTCTTCTTGGATGGCAAGATCACATTTTAAATGCATTTTATTTGGTTCAATTTAATTTTAGATGAATGCAACATTGCTAGTCAAGGCTGTCAAAATAGCTCGTTCTTGTTAAACAACTCGTGTTCGGCTCATGAAGTAGTTTGTGTTGGATCGTTTGATATGCAAAGTACAAAAATGTTTTTTTTTTTTAATATATGAACCAAAGATTTATTCGTTCCTGTTCGACCCTTTTTGAGTTTAAATATTTAAATTGATTACAAGACTATAATGATTTATAATCAAATATAATTATTAATTAATTAAAAAATAAAATTAGAATGTATTAAATTCTATTTAAATGAATATTTTAATAATAATTGTAAGATTTAAATCTCACCCATACCCTAACATGCTGTGATTACATGATTAGGATTGTCAAAACGGCTCGTTCAGGAACAATTTGTGTTCGGCCTGAGCCTGAGCTCGCTCAAGCTCGGCTCGTTTACACTCCTATTGCCAATATATATGATTTATGGCAATTTTTTTTTTCATTTTTTTTTGCCATAAAAATGTGAAGCATCTGGATGACAATAATTTCAACTTTTATCTACCATTATCAAAATATTAAATAATTCTTATGAAATTATTATCAAAACGTTAAATCTAATAATTAATATTAGATAATAATGTAACTTATGCAAATGTTTTTGAACCACAATTACCCCAACTGTTGTTCATCTTAATTATTCCATGGCGAGAGAGAAGTTAGGAGTAGAAACATAGAGTAAATTTTAGGTCATGACTGGATGCATCCGAAGTTCAATAGAGGGGCGACACGTGTAAAGTGGACCAATCACAATTTATTGTGATGAGTCCACTTTACACATGACACCTTTTTATTGGACTCCAGATACATCCAAAATCATAACCTAATATTTTCTTAGAAACATAAGTTATTTATGCTATGGTGTTAATTCAAAAATTTAAGATCTCTTAAATGAAATTAAATACTTAGAAGGCCTAAAAAATAAAATATATTATCCCCGTTTACTTACCGATTTTTTATCAATATATATATATATATATGTATATATATATGTATGTATGTACATATATATATATTAGGAATACTATCATGTTTAGGATATTTAATTATATCTGAATATCTTATTATTTTATTATATTGCCACGCATTCAATAGTAAATGTTCTCACTATTTAAAATTTTTTTTCTTATAAAACAAAATCATGTAATTTCATGTACTTTTTAAATGAATTATAAGTAACATAGAGACGGAATATGAAGAACCAATTATTTTTATGAAAATTGTGCGGCGGATGTGGATCTTAAAAAGGTGCGGCGGAGTTGACAACGAATGTTGACCGAAGGTATGTCAACGCACACCCTCATCACCTTCCTTTTTCTATTATAATGATTATTTATTTATTTATTTATTTTATTTTGCTGAACTCGCACATTTTTTTTTATATTATTGCAACTTGATTCAATTACCGCATCATTTTTTTTTTTCCAACCCTCTCTCTCATATAAATGAATGAACTGAGGCTATGATACGAGCCTCGAATCGAACCTCAAATTTGAGGAGACTTAAATTGACAAACAGACACCTGACCAATTGATCCAAGTGCATATGACCGGAGCCCCTAAAAACCCCCATGTTCTAACTATTTAAAGACCACCCTCACTATAAGCAAAGTGGTCAAATAATTCGAACCTGTTACCTAAGGAAACTTACGACTTTGGAAGAGACTGTTCTACTAACAGGCCACGACTGACGATACATCTCCCTCTCCATATATATATATATATTAATCTCTTACGTATAAAAAATTTAAGTGATAAACATGCATACACGTGGCTTTTTTAATGATAATATAAATCATGAACGTTGTTCTTTTATTTTTAGAAAAAAAAAACCTTATTTTTATTTTTATTTTTGGCATTGTGAGCCTTACAAAGCAAGCTAAAATTAATGACTTCTTGAAAGCCAAACCAAAACATTAAAAAAGATGCTTACAAATCACATTTACCAAAACCTCATCAGAGAGTTGGGCCAATCTACCTCTTCGAACCTCCAAAAAGCCATTTTTTTTTTTGAGAAATTTACATACATACCACGCAATTCTCTATATTTACATATCGAACCCAAAGTTTGATATTTATACTTGCAATATCTTGGTGTCATACATTTATGCATTAAAATAAATATTTTATTTTTAGATAATCATAGTAATATTTTTACAATGATATTAAAGTTTTTGAGTGTTATGCATTTAAATATGAATATTTTTATATTTATAAATACATAAAAAATTGTGGTATATATGTAAATACCTTTTTTTTTTTCATTTTTATCAAATTCTCAATGATTTGATCGTGACATGCATAAACACATCAATTCAAGAGTTCAAATATAAATGTTCCGGGTGCTCTTTATGTAATTATCCCATACTGTTTCTTTTTCTCTTGTTTTGCATCTGCTTAAGTAGGGATAGAGAGAGGAGATGCAGTTGGTATGAGATTCTCAAAGGAAAAAATGGCAGGATTTAACAGCAGGAAGAGGCCCTATGGCTTGCTCCTTCTACTGGCTCTCGCCATGGCGGCGACCTGCGCGGTGGTGCTTCACCAGCTCAGGGAAGGCAGAGTTCTCGGCCTTCTGCTCCAGGAAAGAGACCGGCAGCTTCTCAACTTTCAGATATTATTGCAGGTTCTGAATATTTTCCATTATTTCTCAATTATCTAAGTTTTTTTCATGCTAATTCATTGCAGATTTATACATTTGTTTCAGTTTATTAAAATTTATGCTGCACAAATGTCGAATAAATCCTACAGATATCCTAAGCACAAGGTTTTTAATGGAGATACAAATGCTATTTTGATTGATCTCATTTTGCCCAAGCCTCATATGGTTTGCTTCTAGGATGATGAAGGGAGATTCACATAAATACCACTCGATTCCTATGTATTTACATATCTAACCTTTAAACTTCAATTTTTACATAAATGCCATCTTATTTACGCATGAACAAATGTATTTCGCCTTTTAAAAGTTAAAACAGTGATATTTTTGATGTGATACAAAAGATTTGGGTCGTAAAAAATGTAAAGAAGCAAAATTTAAGTGCTAGACATGTAAATACATAAGAAATGGGTGGTAAGCATGTAAATGTACCAATGAAAACATGTTGTGAAAGAGTTTATTTTTACTCATTTTATGTGTGAAAATAGAATCAGTATATGTAGGGTATCATTCAAGTTCATTGCTAACTACATGCAACAAATTCCATTTTCTTACCTTTCTAAAATTCAAGATATTTTTCTCTATTTCTAGACAAACTACTTGAAGGTTAGAAAAATTTACATGTATTCTAATATCTTATATAAAGTATCTAATTATGATGTATTCAGTTAAAAAAAAGGATAATTACATATATAGCACTATAAACATTGCTATTTACAAAATAACACCCAGGTGATTTTTTGAACTACAGAACCGATGCATTTATGTGTGCCGTACTTTATGAGTTGGAGTTCCACATGAACTTTGTACTTTATGAGTTGGGGTTTCACATGAACTTCGATATTTGAGTGAGAACTTAAAGAATGAATGATATTTGAGCTTGCTGGTTCTGTAAACGACAGTGTTTCAAGCCCTGCTCTTTTAAAAAAATTTTTATTTTTTTCTCTTTGGTGAGCAGAAAGAAAGAGAAAACTCAAAAGAAATGAAAAGAAAATTATATGATATGAAAGCAAAGATTTTTACTTTTAGAAACCAAAAGATGGAGCTTACTGATAAGCTCGCCGAGGCTCGGAACACTGTAGCTCAGCTTAAGAATCTGAAGACTGAGCTGGAAGCAGCTTTAGTGGAGAAACAAATCCAAGTTGACAAATTAACAGATAAAACAGAAGAATTCATCTCAATAAATCTCAAATTTGCAAACCTAACATCACTTCTGAGGGAAAAAGAAGCTGAAGTTGAAGAAATGAAGAGAAGTCTTGCAAGAGAAGATCTGGCAGAGAATTCAACAGCACAGAATGAAAATTCTCAATCTGAAAGCTTTAGTATTAGTGAGGAAAGAAGAGGAGAATGGGCTGAAGTTCAGAAAAAGAAGGATGAAGTTGGCCTGAAAGCTGAAAATGCAAGCAGTATGGATCAAAAAGAAGCTCAAAAAGTTCTACAATATAATCTGAAAAATCAAACTTTGGGTTTTAAAGAAATGAATGTAACAGGTGGTGGTGAAGGCGATGCAAAAACAAGCGAAGAAATGGAGAATCAAATGAAAGAAAATGAGTTAAATAGAACTGAAAGTGCAGTGAAAGACATTGTTAGAGATGATAGGATAATTGGGTCTTCTTCAGGTCAGAATCAGCATGATTTGGCAGAGAAACCTCAAGTTACAGAAGTCATGAAAAATTTCTCAATCGATAATAAAAACACAGCAGATTCTGAAACTGGTGAAAGAAAACTTCCCAGCTTGAAAGAAGAAATGGAAGGGATTGAAGAAGTAAGAGAAACCAGGGGAAATAAAAATCCAGAAACTAAGAATGACAAACCAGAAGATCAGAAGGAGAGAGATGATGATAACTCAGAAGAAGCAGGAGAAAGTAGCAGCTCAAAAGATCTTCAGCTTCAAGAAATTAATAGCTCTGAAAGTATTCGAAGTTCTCAAGAGAATGGAAATGGCTTCACTGAAACATTACAGAAGGAAGCAGGAAGGGAAGCAAAATTCATGGGGCAGTCAGAAACTGTAGAAAATACTGAAGAAAGTGAAACAAGAAGGAAGAACACTGATGAGAAGCAAGAAGAACCTGAAAGTCAGCCTGAGAAAGCTGAGAGTTTTGAAAACAAACAGAATATATTTTCTTCTGACACCGTTGAAAGAGGCAACTCGAACAACTTCATCGAAGACGAACGCTAGGAATAAAAAGAAAACATGTGTGCACTAGCTGATAAAGCTGAAATTTAGATTTCTATAATTTTTGTTTAGTCATGGTTACAACTTAGCAGTATTTCGATCTTGTTTTATGGGATTTATAAAATCCAACTTGTAGCCAAACAGCAACTAAATTAAAAATAAAAAAAATTGGGACTTTCATAGATATGCATAATACTAAATTTTTTGCTTCTAAATTCTACAGCTATGTAAATTACTAATTTTTTGGAGCTTCTCATTTTGCCCCATTTCTTTAGCAATTTTAATTCAAACAGCACCATGTCACGGACTAACTTTCGTCAAGTCACCCGTGCGGCTTTAGCGCTCTCTCTTAGCACTAAATCAGCCTAATCACTCACAACACTGGACTTAGCAGCCCCAAGCACTCTTAAGAAGAAGAATAGAGAGAAGGGAATACTTTGCAATTGAATACTAGAATGCTTTGATTCAATGCTTGGGTAAATACAAATGAGGGGAGGAGCTCCTATTTATAGCCTCCTCCATGCCTTTGGCCTTTCATCTAGCCAATGTGGGACTATACAATGTCCAAGAGAAGCTTCTAGATTACAATATAATATTCTATCTCTTAGACTATTCTAATGTACATAAATAACTCTAGAACATTCTAGGTTATTCTTAGATCCTCTTTAGAGCTTTTCCTTCTTGCTCTCCCCTGAACGTGGTGGAATCTTCTAGAGCCC